GAAGTAGATGACTAGGGGTGCCCTTTCAGAGCTTTTAGTCTCATCCTAGTTTTGGATTTTTTTCTTTGTTTTGTGTGTGATGTTGAAGGATGTGATCTCTCAGCTTCCTGCTCCTGTTGCCATGTCCATAATTGTTACTGTGCTTCCTGCAATAACAGTCTCTTATCCATCTGGATCCATAAGCCAAATTAACCTCTCCTTGTTCTGAGAGTTGCCATCAATCACGGTGTTTCTCACAACAGAAAAGTAACTATTACAATAAGTCATTTGTGTCTAGAAACTAATCTATTTCTTAAAGTTTTCCAAGTTATTTATATACATTTTTAAATTATCCTCTAACTATTCTCCTGATTTCATCGAAGTCTGTTTTAACAACTCCGTTTTCATCTTTAATTTAATTAATTTGAGGCTTCTTTCTGTTGCTTTTGGTTTGCTTGGCCTGAGAATTTGTTAATCTATTTTTAAAAACCAACTCTTTTGTTTATACTGTATAATGTTCCTTCAGTCTTTGTTCCATTTATTTTAGTCCCTAGTCTTTATTATTTCTTGTTACATGCTGAGTTTGAGATTGACCTCTTGTTTCCTAAGAGACTTGAGGTGTGTGTTCGTTACTTTTCTATTGATATCATGAAACATCATGACCAAGGTAACTTACAGAAGGAGGGGTTTAGTTTGAGGTTACAGTTTTAAAGGGTTAGAATCCATGATGGTGAAGTGGAACTGGTAGCAGATAGCCAGAAATTTAGAACACATCAGTCCAACCACAAACAAGGAGCCAAGATAATAAACCTCCATGACTTTTGCAACCTCAAAGCCCACCCCCAGTGACATACTTCCTCCAATAATTCCATCCCTCCTAATAATCTCAAAACAGTAACCAACTGGGAACAAGTATTCTAATTCCCAAGACTCAAGGGGAACACCTCACTCAAGCTACCTAATTCTACTCCCCAGCCTTAATAGTCTGTTTGCCATGTCATATTGCAAAATTCATTTAGTACAACTGCCAAAGTCCCAGTACTCTTGCACAGTCACCACACTATTTAAAAGTCCAAAGTCTCTTTTGAGACTTAATGTAATCTCATAATCATAATGCCCCATAAAATCAAAGAGCAATTATATGTAACATACCATAGCACATAATATATATTACCATTATAAAAGTGAGAAATGAGCATAGTAAGGAAATACTAGACCAAAGAGAGACTGAAACCCAGAATTACAGGCTCCAAAATCCTATAATTTCATAGTTCTATGTCTGATGACAGAGGGCCTTCTTGGCTCCACCTCTCTGATTTTGCTGCCCACAATACCATTTCCTGTCAGGCTGTTTCCATTCCCTGTCTACAGTAGCCTTTCAGGGACACTTGACTTCTCAGGGCCTTCATGGATAGACTTTTCCTGCCATACTTGGCATGATCTTAGAGGCTACCTGAAAGCAGAGAAAGAAATTATGACCCACTAACTCTTGCATCCTTCATTCCTCCAAAGTCAGTACCATGTGGGCAACATAACCAATTTTGATGGTCAGCTTAGCTTGATTATTTGCACAGATACAGAGAAGGCATTTGATAAAGTTCAACAGGAATTCTTAATAAAAGTTTGAAAGAAAGTAGGAATATATGAAACATATTTCAATATAATTAAATGCTACATATGAAAAGTCTGCAGCCAACATTATACTAACTTGAAAAACTTCTCTAAAACATGAAATGGAATAAATGTGTATATTATCTCCAATTTTATTAAATATAGTGTTCATAATAAAGTTTCAGGATACATAATCAGCATATAAAATCGATATTTTTATATATACTAATGATGGACTTTCTGAGAAAGAAATGAGAAAAAAATGTCCCATTTGCACTCCTAAGCATATATGACAACACTCTATGTTCTACCATGGAGATATTTGCACATTCATGTTTACTGCTGCTCACAACAAGAAATATCATCAGCCTAAATCATCACCAACAAATTAATGGGCATTAAGGGAAATATGTTATATATGACAAGTGCAATTTTATTCAACCATAAAGAAAAACATTAAATTTTGGGAAAATGTATTAACTGGAGTAACCTAGGTTCAAAGCCACAAATGTTGATTTTTTTTTCTTTTATGTAGACTCTAACTCCTAATTTTTATGTATGTGTATTTTTATAAGAATAAGTGATAAATAAGCCATGAAACTAGAAACTCACCATCTTGGCTAGACTGGTGAACAAGGCCAGAGGATTTACCTGACTCTGTCCCTGAACACTGTGGGTACATATTCTCATGACTATGTCTGATTTTTATGTGGGTAATGTGGATGTGGACTCTAGTTTTGCTTATACACTAAGTATAAGCTCTCTTCCTAACACCCCCTTCAAAAAAACATGGTTTTAAAGAAGGAGGTGGAGAGGAAATGACAACACACGTGACATGAAACAAACTGCTGGAAGAAGAAGGATACAAGCAGCAAGAAGACAGCAGGTAGTGATGAAGAAAAAAATCAATCAAAACAAAGTATGAAGGATATGTTATTTTGAGTGCTGATTATAACTAGATGAAAGTAAATAAAGGAAGTGCACCGGATATCATTCAAATATGTCACTTAGGTTATGAGGAAACTAAACTCCAGTGACAGTTAATGATTTGACTAAAGTCAACATATTAACTTTTCTGTGAACGATGAAAAGCCTTGCCTGAAATTTTCTACATTAAAGTGACAGAAATACGTTATCTTACACATATCATTATCAAAAGTCTGATGTAATTATTACTGAGCTAAAATCAGGTGCCAATGGTGCTTTATTGCTTCTGGAAGCTTTGTAGAAGGATCTATTCCCTGATCCTTTCTACTGTGTAGGAGCTACCCCATTCCTTGGCTCTTGACCTCTTTCATCTATTTTCAAAATTAGCAATATAATGTGTTCAAATTCTCTCTGACCCTTTTATACCATTTGCGCCATGAGGATGGGGAGACACTAATTTTCTTCTTCTTTTTCTTTTTCTTCTTCACAGACTTAATTCACTTTATTTTTCTTGTATAAAAACCCTTATGTGGTAGCCAAAGCTGGAGCTTGTGTCCTCTGTACAGAGACTGTGTCAACCTTTGATGCCATCTCCAAGACATACAGCTACTTTTTCTTCTTTAAGGCAAGGTGAAAACCTTCTGTTTTGGCCCCATGGAAAGCATGGAAATCTGGCTGTGACCAAAAAAAACATCAACCAATATTTTATTTTGACATCGTATCTCTGGCATTTATGAAAATTTTCTTAAGAATGTGAGATTTCATTTTTCTTTCTAGCTACCTTGGGACCTCAAGACTTACAGCTTGATACTTAGAGTTCCTCATTTGATCTTTTTCCTCAGGGCCAACTTTTGTTTTTTATTTATTTGGCTGCCATTTTTTAATTTAGTAAACTGTTAATTGAAACGTAGTATATAAATAATACTTAAAAACCTAAAAAAATGGGCATAATTCACAACCACATTACATTCTTATAATCCCCACCAAAAGATTTATTTTCCTAGTCCTTATTGCCATGTATTATTTTAAGCTCTTTTGTACTCTTATAAAGGAATAAAATAATGTATTTTTATAATGACTTCTATAAAATGTGTTTGTCAGAGTCAATGGCAGAGGCTGTCTCTGACATGATCTCAGTGGCTAGCTCTTTGATTACCTCCCCCTGGTGAGGAGGGCAGCTGTACCAGGCCACAGGGGAGGACAATGCAGCCAGTCCTGATGAGACCTGATAGGCTAGGGTCAAATAGAAGGTGAGGAGGACCTCCCCTATCAGTGGACTGGGGGAGGAGGAGGGGAGGAGGAAAGGGAGGGAGTGAAGGATTGGGAAGGGACAAGGGAAGGGACTACAGCTGGAATACAAAGCGAATAAATTGTAATAATCAAAAAAAAAAATAAAGAGATAAAAAATGTCACAGAAGACAAAACAGACAAAAGAATATTATATAAACATTCAATATTTTTATTTTTATTCTTGATAATTTTGTACATATTTAAAATGATATATGAGTATATCCACATTTCATTTCCCTCTTCCAACTCCAACAACTCCTTCCCCTTCCTAACGTCAATGTCCTCTTTTTAGATAACCTACTAAATCTGATTAGTGATAGCCAGATGTGCATTAGTTTTGGGCCAGCCACTGGGGTATGGTAAACTCTCTGAGGGAACACTCTGAAAAAAATTAGTATCTCTCATCAAAAAATTATTAATTGTTCAAAACTTTTCAGTAAGGGGTAGGGTCATCTGTGCAGGACTTTTGGATTGATCTTATGTCAGTCTTGAGTAAGTAACCCCAGCTACTATAAATTCATGAATGCAATAATCCTGTCATGTCCAGAAAACAGTATTTCACATCACTCCTCTTCATTGTCTGGCTCTTAATCTTTCTGCTTTCTATTTCATGATTTCCTCTGAGCCTCCCTTCTCCTCCTCCCCCAGCTTTCTATTGTATGTGTGGTGTGTGTGTGTGTGTGTGTGTGTGTGTGTGTGAGAGAGAGAGAGAGAGAGAGAGAGAGAGAGAGAGAGAGAAAGAGATTCCATTTAGGAATGAGCTTTCAGTCTCTTCTCAATACTTTCACCAGTTCATTCATTTCTATGTTAACTGTTGTCCAATACAAAATAAGCTTCTCTGTCCAATACTGAGAAAAGCCTAGGTTATAGGTATAAGCATAAATGTTCAGATAGCAAAATGAATATTTATTTAAAAAATAACAATAGCAAGTTCTACTCTAGGGTCCCTGAGCTTTGCAGCCATTGATTTTGACCAGGATTATAGTACTAGGCATGCTATTCTCTCCTGTGGAACAGCACTCAATTCTAATCAGAAAGCTGTTAGTTATCTTATAATGGTCTTGCTAGTACCATACCAAGGGTAATCTTGCCTAGTATGTTGGTATTGTGACACACAATGTACAGCAGTTGGTAAGACTATTGTGTGACCTCATTTTTAACCAAATACCACTTAGTCTTATTTTGTATTTTAGGAAATAAACTTTCAATCTTTCCCATCATCTTCACCATCTCTCTTTGCTGCGTTGTGGTTGTCACCATAACTTATATCATGTTCTACCATAGGATGTTCCAACAAGGTGAATGATTAATAAGGATGTTTGGCTTTTCCTTTATTCATTCTTTCCAACAGTATGTATCTACATTCTGTGTGAGGGTCTGTCTCTAACATTCCAATGAGCTTGATAGTATAGTGACAGAGATAAAAAGAGACAGATGTTCATTGTCCCTGCAAACAATGATGTAAGACTTATGGAACAGAATATAAAAATCCAGGTAACCAGCCAATTACAACTATCATTGTAATAAATCATAGTATAAAAATACAAGAGAAGCTATACACAAGTTGCTTACAATTTATGTGTGGATGCCCAGGTTAAAGCATAGAAGTTATCAGTAATATACATAGCAGAAAGAGTAATTTTTCAAAATGTCAAGAAGAAAATATTGAACAAAAACTGAAGTGAAGAAGTTGGACCTGGGATAATCAAAAAAGCCTTTCAGAAGGTATAAGTGGAACTAGGTCATACTGAATGAAAACAGTATGTGAAGAGACAATATTCTAGGAAAATGAAACCACACACGCAAAAGTACAAAGGCCTAAACTGCAAATGAGTGTAGATCAACCCCCCTCCAATTCACATAGTTGAGTGATAATGAAATACAGGGGAGAATGAAGCTTTCATTCTAATCGAAGCAGGTTTTTAATTCCAGCCTAAAGAATTTCTTCACTGGGCCTTGCAATGGTACTAAGATTAGCCTAATTGTTTTGATCATGGAAATGGTCTGATGAAGACACTATTGCCAGATGTGTTAAAGGAATATGGAAAACATAGGACTGAGGGAGACTGGAATGTTTGTTTCTAAGAAAAACTTAGCTGTAATTCACTACCCACTGCACTAGTCGTTTTGCATAGAATTACCTCGCCTATTTTTCTATAGTATCTTCCACTCACAAATATATTTTCTGCAGTGGATCTCTTTAACAAATAAAAGGGAGCCTTATCTACCACTTTCCCCAGGGTCTCCTATATAAATTGTGGTATTGGTCAGTTACCATCATATTTATCAGGATAAACTTAGGAATGGAAATACCTAAAACAGTTGCAAATACCTGCTCCATTTGAAGGAAAACATTCACCATAGTCTTATTGAAGCTAGACAATTACGACATATTATTTGCCTCTTAAAATATCCCCAAAACATCTCACAACTCCTAGTAACTCAAGGGAATTAGAAGTCACTATGTATCATTGTTTCTAAGACTCTCCATTATATGGCTCTATCCTTGTTTTTCCCCTTCCACCATTCTCTTTTACTTATTCTCATTTCTAGTCACTGAATTCACACAAGCAATTAAGCCTTACACAACATGCCTTTGTGTTTTAGTTTTTCACCCTTCTTAGTATGAATTCCCAGAATTCCTGCTTTCTGCTTCTCTTTAAGAAAGACGGTTTCAAAAAAAAATTGTTTTTCTGTAGTTACTGAAAATAGTTTGTATTCCAGATACTAAGCATATAAACATTAAAAACAAACAAACAAACAAAACACAGGCTGATGTGCAGAAGATCCCAGTCAGTGGGGGAGAAAAAACATGGAAATGTAGGTTTCTACAAGACAAATATCCCATAGTTTGCATTGTTAGCTTTCTTGTAATTTAGTTCATGAATTTCCAGTTGTTACTCTGAAAGATTATAAGCACCTAGAGGTCAGACTGTACTATCAAGAAATGTTCATTTTTGTCCAGGCTAATCCTATGGAATAGAGGACAGTTCTCCATACACACTAGGGGTCAAAGATTATCTAGTTAGGGTCCTTTGAGTTTTAAGATGATTAAGTAGTTATATTTTAGTAATTCAATGAAATACCAGTGTTTCTATATATGATATATATGTTACAACTGAGCCCTTTCTTGAATAATAAATAGGTGGACATCAGTTCATTTGAAAATGGATTGGGCTATGGTCCCTGACATGGAACCAAATTCAATGTATTTTTTTCTGGGCAGTGGCTGTGCAATCAAGTTTCTGAGAATTTTTGATGAGAATCTTGTGTGAAAAGTAGGTCTTTTCTCCCTTTACCCAGGCAAAGCAACATCTTCAGTCTGATATTCTAAGTCAGAAATGCCAAAGAAGATGGGAATTAAGTATGTGATCCTTCTACCTCTCTGATAAATCTGTATCACTGTATTTCAACTCATGACAAAATCTCTAGATATTAGAAAGATGATACTTTAAATTCTCTTCTGTTTCCTTCTCCTTCTTTGAACTGCTACTCAGGTTTCATGATTAGCTCTTATGCACTTTACATATACATTTCTAACCTGATTTTTCCTTGTTTTCTAGAGCATGTCTATGAGGTGAGCAGGAAAGACAATGGCTTTTTTTTTCTTTTTTTACAGTATCAGAGCCTTTCTTCATACTTTCATTTTTAAGTTTATTTATTTTTAATTCTTTATTAATTACACTTTATTCACTTTGTATCCCCCCTGTGGTTCCCTCCATCCTCCCGTCCCAATCCCTCCCTTCCTCCACCCTCTGCATGCATGCCCCTCTCCAAGTCCACTGAAAAGGGAGGTCTTCTTTTCCTTCCTTCTGATCCTAGTCGATTAGGTCTCATCAGGAGTGGCTACATTGTCTTCTTCTGTGGCCTGGTAAGGCTGCTTCCCCCTCAGGGGGAGGTAATTAAAAAGCAGGCCAATCAGTTCATGTCAGAGGCAGTCCCTGTTCCTATTACAATGGAACCCAATTGGATACTGAACTGCCATGGGCTACATCTGTGCAGGGGTTCTAGGTTATCTCCATGCATAGTCCTTGATTGGAGTATCAGTCTCAGGAAAGACCCCTGTGCTCAGATTTTTTGGTTCTGTTGCTCTCCTTGTGGAGTTCCTGTCCCCTTATTTATTAAAATTTATTGACTTTGTATCCCATCTGTAGTCCCCTCCCAGCACCATCCTCTCTCCCTTTTCTTGCCCCATGGCCTTCTTCCATTCCAATGATAGGGGAGGTCCTCTTCCTCTTCCGTCTGAACCTAGCCTATCAGGACTGGTTGCATTGTCTTCTTCTGTGGCCTGGTAAGGCTGCTCCCTCAGTGGGAGGTGATCAAAGAGCCAGACACTAAGTTGATATCAGAGACAGTCCCTGTTCCCCTTACTAGTGAACCCACTTGGAGATATATTCATGCATGGTCCTTTGTTGGAGTATCAGTCTCAGAAAAGACTCCTGGCCCAAGATTTTTTGGTTCTGTTCCTCTCCTTGTAGAGTTCCTGTCCCTTCCAGGTCTTCCTGTCTCCCCGTTCTTTCACAAGTTTCCCTGCATTCTGCCCAGTTTGGCGATAAGTCTCAGCATCTGCTTCAATATGCCACTGAGTAGAGTCGTTCAGAGGCCCTCTGTGGTAAGTTCCTGACCTGTTCCCTGTTCATTCCCTCTTTCAATGTCTATGCTGTTTGCCTTTTCTGAATGAGGAATGAGCATCTTCCCCAAGATCTTCCTTCTTGCTTAGCTTCTTTAGATGCACAGATTTTAGTATATTTTTCTGTATTATATGTCTAATATCTACTTACAAGTGAGTATATACCATGTGTGTCTTTCTGCTTCTGAGTTACCTCACTCAGTTCCATCCATATACCTGCAAATTTCACAATTTTCTTGTTTTTAATTGCTGAGTAGTATTCCATTGTGTAAATATACCACAATTTCTGAATCCATCCCTCCATTGAGGGTCATCTGGGTTGTTTCCACATTCTGGCTATTACAAATAAAGCTTCTACAAACATGTATGAGCAAATGTCTTTGTTGTATACTTGAGCATATTTTCGATATATGTGTAGGAGTAGTATAGTTGGATCTTGAAGTAGCACTATTCCTAATTTTCTGAGAAAACACTAGATTGATTTCAAAAGTGGCTGTAAAAGCTTACATTTCCACCAGCAATGGAGGAGGGCTCTCCTTTCTCTACATCCTCTACAACATGTGTTGTCACATGCGTTTTTGATCTTAGCCATTCTGATGTGTATAAGGTAAAAAATCGGGTTCATTTTGATTTGCATTTCCCTGATGACTAAGGACTTTGAAATTCTTTAAGTGCTGTTCTGCCGTTCGATATTCATCTATTGAGAATTCTGTTTAGTTCTTCACCCCATGTTTTAATTGGATGACTTGGTTTGCTGATTTTTAACTTCTTGAGTTCTTTACATATTCTGGATATTAGTTGTCTGTCAGATATATGGTTGGTGAAGATCCTTTCCCAGAGTGTAGGCTTTTGTTTTGTTCTGATGACAGTGTCATTTGTGTTACAGAAGTTTTTCAGTTTCATGAGGTCCCAATTACTGTTTGTTGATCACAGAGCCTGTGTTGTTGGTGTTCTGTTCAGGAAGTTGTCTCCTGTGCCAATGATCTCAAGGCTCTTCCTCACTTTTTCTTCTAACAGATTTAGTGTGTCTGGTTTTAGGTTGAGGTCTTTAATCCACTTGGACTTTAACTTTGTGCAGGGTGATAAGTATGAATCTATTTGCATTTTTCTACATGTTGAAAATGCTAAAAAATATTTAACAAAATCCAATACCTGTTCAAGTTTAAAGTCTTGGAGACATCAGGGATACAAGGCACATACATAAACATAGTAAAGACAACATACAGCAAATCTATAGCCAACATCAAACTAAACTGAGAGAAACTTAAATCAATCCAACTGAAATCAGGGACAAGGCAAGGCTGACCTCTTCGTCATAGTACATGAAATCCTAGCTAGAGCAATAAGACAGCTAAAGGAGATCAAGGGAATACAAATTGGAAAGGAAAACGTCAAAGTATCACTCTTCACAGATGATATCATACTATACATGTGTAACCCCAAAAATTCTACTACAGAACTTCTTCAACCAATAAACACCTTCAGCAAAGTGACTGAACAAAAAATTAACTCAACTAGCCCTCCTGCATTCAAAAAACAAAAGGGCTAAGAAGGAAATTAGGGAAACAACACCTTTTACAATAGTCACAAATAACATAAAGTACCTTGGTGTGACTCTAACCAAGCAAGTGAAAGGCCTGTTTGAAAAAACAAAACAAAAAACCTTTAAGTCTCTGAAGAAAGAAATTGAATAAGATATCAGAAGATGGAAATATCCCCTATGCTCGTGAATTGGTAGGAGTAACATAGTGAAAATGACCATCCTGCCAAAAGTAATCTATAGGTTCAATGTAATTCCCATCAAATTACCAACAGAATTCTTTAAAGACCTTGAAAGAACAATCCTCAATTTCATATGGAAAAGCAAAAAAAAAAAAAAAAAAAAAAAAAAAAAAAAAAAAAAAAAAAAAAAACAAAAACAAAAACAAAAACAGAATTGCTAAAACTGTCTTATATAATAACATATCATTTGGAAGTATCTCCATCCCTGATCTCAAGTTGTAGTACAAAGCAACGGTAACAAAAATTTCACAGTACTGGTATAGAAACAGACTCATGGATCAATGGAATTGAATAGAAGACCCAGACATAAACCCACACACCTAGCGATACTTGATTTTTGACAAAGAAGCCAAAATCATACAATTGAAAAAAAAAAATAACATGTTCAACAAATGGTGCTAGTCTAACTGGATGTCTACATGCAGAATAATGCAGATAGATCTGGTTTTTTTTGTTTAGTTTTGTTTTTTTATTTTGGAGACAAGCTTTCTCTGTGCAGCCTTGGCTGTCCTGGACTCACTGTGTAGACCAGGCTGTCCTTGAACTCACAGAGATCCACCTGCCTCTGCCTCCCAAGTGCTGGGATTACAGGCATGTGCCACTGTGTCAAACTTTTTTCTAAATTATTAACCATTCCTTGCCCTCAATTCTTTTGTCATTGGCAGAAAACATGGAAACTAACCCCCAACAGAATTTTTCAGGGTCAGAAAATATTTTACCCTCTAAGATAAATGTCCTAGAATTGTCTCCTACATCAATGAATGCACAAGATGATTTAAGTATTACCAACAAGATCCTGAGATTCAGTGAATAAGAACTTAGGAGGCAGGATACTAGAAATACCAGCATCTAAGCCCCGAGATGTTTCTCATGAGTAATTTGATCTTGGTCAGTAGGGTGTGTGCCAGGGAAATGAGCAACTCTGAAGAAACAAGGGTGACTACTATAGCGAGTGGGTACTTTCATGAATCAGATTCTCAAGCTCTGATCAATGACTATTCTAGTAAGCCCTGCCTGGGTCAGGAATACCAAATAACTACCAGATCAACAATGACTATTCCTGCTGGCTGAACACAGCTCCCAGAAACTAAGAAGTTCTTGCTACTGAAGACAATAATATCTGCTAAAAGTGAGTGCCTAATGACATAATTACCTATGACTTATTCACTTTTTGGCTTCAATACAGCTTTCTTCCCTGTTTCCTTTCTTCCTAGACAACTTAAATTATGTATTCTGTCAAGCTGGGGCCATTGAGAAATCCTGGCTTTGGCTAAGAATTTACTTAATTTACTTACTTAAGAAATCTAACTTCTGGGTTTGATCCCGGATGCTTCTATACTCCTTCCTGGGGCCTCTATAACTCTTCTTCAAACACCAGATAAATTCCCACAGCACTAGAAGCTCATTGTCATGCTTCTATCCATCACCAAAAAATCAGAAGAGACTCAGTCCTACTAACTCAGGCAAATACCAGTTTCCAGGATTCCTTCCCTTTCTCTAAGACCAGATGATTTTTAAATGATATTGCTATGTCACAATGCAGAGTACATATCAGTCCCATTATTAGTTCATTGGTCAATTCATTAGCTAGTTAGAACTATTATGTAGTAGATCTCTTATTTAGCAAGGCAAACAGGTTTGCCTTGCTCATGTTAACTGCCTGTGTCTTACAGTGAATAACTGTACATAAAGTTTATGCGAGGTCTGAGGATATGAAAGTTTAAGTTATGAGGATTTAAAAAAGGTGAGGCTCTAGGAAGATGTTTCAAAGTTGTTAAATGGAAGAAAGATTGGGAGGTCTAAGTAGGTGTTTTAAAGTATGTGAATGCAAGTTGCAATGATATAAGGAAATAATTTAAGGTGTATTGAAAATGGAAGATATTTCAGATTTCTCCCCATCCTCTGTGCTATTGTTGTGCTTATGTTGTTAAGAGAGTTCAGAAGTTCAGAGTTATGACATTGATCAATAGAGTTCTGATAAGCTAAGCTGATTGGGCACTGACTGCTTATTATCCAATCACAAGCTTGAGATTTTAATTTCCCTTTGGGTGTCTTGAGATAAACTTAAAGGTGCTTCTAATTATGCTAAAAATATCTCTGTCTAATATGTATATCTCTGACACAAAAGCCATAAATTTACTAGGTCTTAATGGCATGAGTCTACTTCTGCTGTCTTGTAAACACCTGTCACCCGCTTTTTCTAAAGTATGGATCTCAATATAATGGTGATACTAATATACTTATTTTTGTAAACTAAAATTCATATGAGTTTCAAGAAATTAATAAAAGTCAGAAGACCTGAATCTGCCATAGCTCAAATGGACCCCAGATGAGTTTTTCCCTTGGTCTTGTGATTCCTCACTTTCCCCATTTACTAGATAAATTTTAAGTTCTTTCTCTAGTCTGAATTTGTCTCAACAGATTTTTACCTGGCTGACAGATTCAATTCATGGATCAGCTATTGATTGCAAGCTGAAATCTGGACTTGGTGAAAGTTGAAGTAAATCAGTCCAGCCAATGTGATGGCTCCCAGTTTCTTCAACTAGATCACTAATTAGATGGTACTCCTTTGCCTAGCTTTTGACTAGCCTTTTAGCCTTCCTGGGTCTCCAATATTTCTGCCTCAATATCAGCCTGAAGAAATTACAGAAGAGAGATTCATCGAGCCCCCAAGATGTTGTACACAGTTCGTGAGACCCCAAAAGTCCATTGACCATACCAGGAGTCAGAAATCATCTGCAAAAGCAAAGAGCCTTTATTTCAGGCTTAGGCTCAGATTCCCAGCATGAATTGACACAGCAGTCAGAGGCCAGGAGCCCCTTCACTTGAAAGAAGGTGATTTTTTTAGTTTTTTGTTTGTTTGTTTGTTTGTTTGTTTGTTTGTTTTTAGCAAGGGGAAAGGGCTTCCAGACTTGGCGGTTACATGATTTGGTAAGATTTAGCAAGAGCAGGCATGTTACATAGTGATTGGCTAAAGTCAACTTGGAGTAACTATTTTGGCAACCAAAAGGAAAACATACAATTGTTTTAGTAACCATAAGGACAACAGTCATTTCAACCTGTTTCCTGATTGTCTGGTGTCAGAGTGGGCACACTGTGTGTTCTACAATGTTATGATTTCCTGAAAATACAAACATGTTTTTCAGGTTCTAGGGGTGAGAGCTAGGTCAATTGCAAGATGGAGGTTAGTACCAAAATGGAGTCTGTTGTGCTCAGATTCTTCCTATACCCCTAGGAATATAGCTCATACACTTTTCTTCTCTCTCTCTCTCTCTCTCTCTCTCTCTCTCTCTCTCATTGGCTCTATGTGTGAATGTGTGTCTTTGTGTGTGTGCATACATGTGTGCATGTGTGCATGCAAATGTGTGCATGCATGGGAGAAAGAGACTGTGTGTGTGTGTGTGTGTGTGTGTGTGTGTGTGTGTGTGTGTGTACTTCATGGGAAACTTAACCCAGGGTTAACCAAGTACTCTACCACCAAACTATAGTCTTGTACTCTTTTCACTTTTTATTTTGATGAGATCTTACTGAATTGTCCAGACTTGCCTTTATTTTAGTCTCTAAAGTAGGTAGAGAATGCCACCAGCCTTAGATTCCCATGTAACTGGGATCATTCATCTGTAACACAAAGCTAACCTATACCTTTGCTTTTTGTTATCTGTTTCTTGGTTAGTTTGTCTTTCACCTTCAAACTCATGATACTTCCCGTCTCATATCATGGCTAGCCTTTTCTAGAGCATAATAAATATTTGCTTAAACAGTATTCCACATAACATCCATTTCCCTCTCTAGCTTTCTTTCAGCTCTACTTCATGACTCTACTCAGAGCAACAGGAACTTTGGAAAGAAGCTTCACTTTTTTTCAAAGAACTATGAATGTACATATTACAGTAGTTCCTTTCTTTTTAAAGGATGTATGTAGTATCACTAAAATCTTCAAAATAGTTGCAATATTCATTGGTTATCTTCTCTAACTCCTGAGCTCTAATTATAATGTGAAGAGGGTTAAGAGTAACAGATTCTTTCTTTTTGGGGGAGGGGGAGAATGGGGAAAAGGGAGGAAATGAACTATCTACGTACTTCTGATTGAAACTCCCATGTAAAGAAATTGTTTTTGGTCAGGATTGTACTTCTTCCTTCCCCTTGTGTATATCATGACAAATCAACTTTCTTACTTTTCATGAAAACAACCATGTTGCCTATGTTTCCTGTATATGCACGGGATCAGATTAAGTTTCATCAAGAGCTACTCCCACCTTGAGATGATTGCAAAATAAATCAAAATAGTAAATGAAAATTAATAAATTAATAAGAGTCTTCTCCATTTCATCCCCACTGATGCTGCTAAATCCATGATCCAAACCTCAACATTTTCTTCTTTTCCAAATGCTAGCTACACATAATCAGTGAGAGAGACAACTTCTCCATCTCACTTACAAGCCTCCACAGCATGGACCCTACACAGTAGAAACCTCAGCTTCCTTCATGAAACAGCTCTGAGTCCAGCTTCCCAAGCTTTTGAAGATGTCAGTTATGCTATTTTCCTTTAAAAACATAAATCCCTGTTCTTAGGGTGGGAATTTTTATTGAAATTTCCGTAGTAAAATGGATCATAATTTCAGTGAAGCCCTTTCACAGGAACTACCAGGGATATCTCCTATTCTTTCATCTGAAAAAGTCTAAATATTATTTATCTGAACATTCACATATAACAAGTTGATAAAGAATAAAGAAAATTGGGAGAGAAATGATGACTTGTCAAAAGTAACAGAGATCAAGAGAATGGCAGAATAAAGACTGAAAGTCAAACCCGTGAATTTTCAGCAGTGTGTATACATTGCTGCAGACATTTCTGAAGATGGTCTTTACCCCTAAACTACTACTTATCTGTGCATGATAAGCCAGATAGTTAGTATATAGAGATGCAACCCTCCACCCATTCTAAACAAATCTAGGGTGACGATATGGATCTTGTCATGCAGGTGCCTGGTTGGTGAGTAGAAAGTTAAAGAGGAAAAGGTATCTCCAGAATAGGGAGAGAGTATGGAATTCCTTTAGAGAACCTTCTCAAAATATATGTCATTAAATGTTAGACTCAGGAGAGAGATTGAAAATGTTTCATTCCATAGTTCTGTATTAGAAGTTCATCCCAGTGCAGTATTAGAATATTAAAGGCTCAGAAAATTCTTTTAAAAAGCCCTGTGTAAACAATTCCCAAATTTCTTTTCCTTCTGAATCTATTTTTTTTTCCTTTTTGCTCTTCTTTCTCAGCACTGACGTATTTCTCAGAAAAAAAAAATTCCTTTTAGTTACCACCTTGTATACACTACAGCACTGGAATGCCAACAGCTTGATGTTTTTTCAAAAGAACCTGGGTGGCAGTTGACCCACATACCCAAAGGTTATGGACTAGTAGAACATCAAAGAATTAGTAAACATTTATTAAATAATTAAAATATTGGACAGTGGTAGGAGAAACAGCAATCTAGTAAATATAATATGCTCTAGACTCTTATACTATAACGAGGAATTCAAGAATATACCTTAGAAAAATTCAGTGACAACTTACGATATATTGGGTGGTAGGGCACATACCAGTGTGTGTCCAGCCAAGGAGTAAAGAAAAATTATAGATTGACTTTCAAAAGTACCCAGAGAGATTAGAATTTGTTGGAGTCTGAAAGTCCAGGGAAGAACTGGGTATACAAAAAAAAAAAAAAAAAAAAATAGAAAGGATGTTTTTTTTGCTGTTGTTGTTTTTTAATGTGCTGTAAGTTAACTTTATTTATTTATTTATTTTTAATTTTTTATTAATTACACTTTATTCATTTTGTATCCCCCCATAAGCCCCTCCCTCCTCCCCTCCCGATCCCACCCTCCCTCCCCTTTCTGCATGCAAAAGGAGGAGAAAACCAAAGAGGAAAAGAGAAGATGTAGGAAAAGTCAAGATATGCTCCAAAGGCAAGAAAGTGGATTTTTGTGTCCTACAGTCTCGTAAAATTTATGATGGTTGTATGAAAATTCTGGTGTCTTGGCTGTAAGGAGAACATGAATAAAGACATTAATAATAAATAAAATAGCACTTCCCTCCTGGTTTCCCTTATGTATTTTCAAGACCATTGTGAATTCCATGGCATTCTTACAATGTACATTGATGCATCCCAGACTTGTAGGCCCCAAAGCTGCATCGTTCTTACTCTGGTGTCCTCTGATGAAATGTTATAGTTCCCTCAAAGCCATAGAGTAACTTGAGAGAGCTTGGTATTTTGTAAGCATTTATATATAGCCAGAAGGCTATCTGCTCTTTCCTGGGCCTGGAGCTGATTAGCATGAGCCACACTTGGGGTATTTGACAAACTGACACTCTACCACACAGAGTGTCCAACTCAGCTTGTCAAATACACGGAGCGTGACACTGCAGAAGGCCATGTCAGGAGATTCCACTGGGCAGCAAGAAGATTTTGGAATATGGTCACCTAGAAAGAGAGAAAATAAGGTGACTAAGTCTTACCCTGAGCAAATGATAGAAGCTGACGTGACTGGATAAACACCAAAATTGGGAAGTGAGCAAAACAGGCCTTAGGCTCCAAACCTAAGATCCTCAAACCAGAGATCCTCAGTGTTTGTCGAGAGACTCTTGTGACCCAAACCTCAATTAATGCTTCTATTCAGCAGAAATAAGACAGCTTGTTCATCATCCTGCCTCCATGATTTGAAAGGCAATATTCATGTTCCTTCCTCCTATCATGGTCTTTTTCACTGTTTTCAGTATCCCATTATGTACCTAGACTTTGAGTTTAAAAACTGGGCTTGAATTCTAGCTCTGCCACTAACTATCTGGATCTCTTAAATAAATGACTTTATGTCCCTGACTCTTAGATGTTTATAACCACAAAAATGTACATAAAGTCATTGTGAGAATATGTGATAATGCATATAAAGCCATTAATTAAGTTTCTGTTATGTAACAAATTCTCAGAAATTGCAGCTATAGCCAGTATGCTAGTACATGCATAAATACAAGCTTTCATAGACAGAGGTAGAAGAACTTCAGGTTGAAAGCTAACCTTGGCTATGTATTATGAACCTTTCTCAAACAAAAAAGAAAATATTAAGTCATAGGAATAAAAATTTAGTGGCAGAGCACTTGCCTAACATGTAGAAAACTTTGTGTTTGACACCTCTTTACAGAAAAAAAAAGTGACTAAAGAATTAGTACTATTAAAATGCTCTTATAAGTCATCTTGTTTTATTTGTTCAAGATTATAAATGAGAAAATGAAGTCTAATGTTTGGGGAAAGACTTGCTAAAGGTCATATAATAAGTTGTTTACAGCTTTGGGGTTATATCATACATCATCTCCTTGTGTCTCTTGGCTCTCCTCACTATCACTTTTTCCTATCTGACTTTTATAACCCCCTGCAAAAAGAGAGAGGAAAAGCAACAAAGAGCAAAACGGGCAGTGGATTTTGCAGGTCAGTACTAGGATTTTTGAACTCAAAGCCACCAGGAGAGTAAGCCATCACAGCTGCCAGAAGAGCCAAACCATCTCAACTTCTTTGAGATTTCCTCTAACATCATGATATTATTACTCAAAATGCCAGTATATTTTTTGTCCTGCCCATGTCTAAATGTAGGTTTTAAAAAAACAGTAGATGATCTGCATTAGGCACTAGGACAAAAAGTGGCAAATATCTCAAGACTGCTAGGAAAGGAAAACTTCTTATACAGTGTTTCAGTAAGAATTTCCTGTTTTTTTGTTTTTTGTTTTTTTTTTCCTAAACTCTTAGTTGAATATGTGGCTAACACATCACTCTAATTTGATGTTTGGGATAACTTAAAAGCTAAAGATTAAAATCGTCTTTCCTAGTCCATAACTTTTCTCACTGTCTCTCTATCCAGCCTACATCTCCCAGAAATGTGGCTCTCTGACTTTAATCCAGTATAAAGTATCAGACAAAATTGGATACTGATATGTACCTAGCCAATAGCAACTGGGACAGGTTATTCTCATCTAAAATTGTCTTCTCTAGAAATGCAGGCAGAAGTCTTATATAGAGAGGTGTTTGTAAAATTGTTTGATGAGATTTCTAGAGCTTTCAAATAAAGGTGTTTAAAAAGATCTTACTCTGGAGCTTGTAAAAGCCAAAGAAACTGATTAAAAGAGAAAGGAGTAATTAACTGTTGGGTTTATTTTTCTGTCATCATCTCCCCTTTTCATCACCTTCTCTAAGAAGAGATGAGTGCTCTACAAGTATCCATAGCCTCCTGAATGCCCCAGAAGAACTCATACACCCCAGGAAGCCTGGGAAAAAAAAGCTATGAAAGGGACTAAAGAGTCTTAGCGCACTGAATTAAAATATTATAAATACTGTTTTCCAGGGTTGATGGAAGGAGTCAGTCATTAAGCTGGTTGTAGGCCATTTTCATTTTCACTCTTGATGTTCCAGCTCACACCTGTTCGAAGGAATACATAGAAGAAAAGCAAATTTAGTTAAGAAAATTTAGTCAGACCCATAGAATGAAGAGATAGATGACTATGTCGGGTGATAGTTGAAGGTTTCTTAAACTCCTCTATTTGTCATTTATCTGATTTTAAATAGCATCATTTATTCCTATAACACTGGAAAAATATTCCTTTCGGTAGCTCCACAAAGCTGTTCTCAATGAGACTAGGAGGGGGTCACTCTCCATGAAGGAAACTGAAAGGCATAAGCTTGGTAAAAAAGGTATAAGTTTTTCACTAAAAATCTGTAAATGTCCAGAATAAGCCACATAGCAAGAAATATACTGGTGAAAAAGAAGTACTGAGGAGCATGCCCAAATACCCGTATTTTTTCCAATATAAGCAGAGCCACCTACTTCAATTGCACATCACTTCTTACTTTTTAGTGTCTTAGTCCCACGGTAAAGCAAAAAGAACACCAGGTTGGGATTAGACTTAGCTGTGCTATCAATTTCTGTGTGGCCTTCGGCAATTACCTTTTCTTCTCTCTGGACCTCTATTCCTCACCTATAAATTTGTTCTGTTTTTACTTCCAAACTTCTTTCCCCGTGACTTTTAAATTATGAAATTGGAGTAGTGGCATATAAAACTAGAAAAGAAACAAGCATTCATCTCTCTGTCATACTTTTCAGATCAGCAGCAGTTCTCCAGGGTGTGTTCATCACTGCCTGGAGGTATGCATTCAAACATTAGTCTCATCTCCTTTCTCAACAGAGGGCTGAAAACCTTCAAAATAAGAGATACAGAGACTAAGACATTAAACAGTATCTCATCTTTGTCATCTTTTTTGCAAAAAAGACTCAAATATTGAGTCCTAGACTGCAGAAACAACTCACCCAAAGAAAAGTGACAGATAAAAGACAGAATTTTTTAAAATTCTATTCAGAACTCTTAACTCCTAGCTCTGAAGAACATTTAACTTCTACATGACTATCTTCTAAAAGACCATCATTTGTTAGAAATTATCAAGTATTTATCTTTTCTCTGCTATCACAGGCTGTAGAATAGAAAGCCAATAGAAAATTTTACCTGTCTTATCTTTGACCCTTCATCTCTAACTAGGATCTGAGAGTCAGTTAAGCATATCCAGACCACTGTTATGGGTACTGTCTTAGCATGGGAATCTAAGAGAACAAATGAATGCTATACCTGTCATTGAAGTGGTGCCTTTCTCTGGGATGGGATATAGGTTCTGAGCAGAACTATAGAGCCCAGGGAAAGCCGAGCTTTATGTTTTTAGCAGGAAGGTCACATGTTCTGAAGGATTCTTAGTGTCATGAGGGGGAAACAGAAATGAGGAAGATAAAGTTGAGGGTAACCAACGGAAATCTGGGTACAAGATGACAAAACACAGCTATTGTGAAAGGAGTAGTTGCTAACACAGCAACAGCCCCTACTGCTCTGTCTCCACCCATTCTCAAGCAATCTCCAAAGACACTGGCTTCCCATGCTACAGAAAGGGAAAGCAGGAAGTTACAAGTTGCCTTTAAGTTCGGCCCATGAGACAAGGAGCAACTACTCCTTATTACTCCATATTTGAGGATTCCTTAGAGTAACTGAGGGAATCCTCAAATATCATAGCTATGATAGTATCTAATGAAAATCTATTGACAAAATGTAAAACTTGAAGCAAATTTGTAGCAAGTCTGAAACTTGATACCATATCATTTCCATCACACCTACTTAAATCATATTCTATGAGAATGCCTTCTCTCCTGATGTACAGAAACAGCTACATAATTTACAAGGCCTACCACAAAATAAATGTTATAAATTCACCCCCACCCCATTTTAAAGAAAAGTTACTTCTCTTGGGGTATGACCATTCTTTCCATGATTCTAGATCTCCTGCTATACAAAAATTTAAGAAGATTAACAAATAGAAAATATAGAAACTTTTGGCTCTTTGTCTCCAGAAGTGGCAACACCCACTTGCTCCATCTTCACAATAGCACCTTTGTAGAAGTAGAGACCAGGTCTCAGCTGGCTGGGGTCCAGTGCATGCTCCAGTACATCACAAAGGGCAAGTTCTCCTGAGAAGCTAACACCTACTGGGCAGTCTTGTAAATCATATAGTTTAAGATGTCTCCACTGTGGAAATAAGTGAACCCAACATCAGGGTTGAACCTCATCACAACCTGGAATGTCTTTCCAGTGTGCAGCTTGATCTGAAATTCAGGCATGGATTGAAGAATGTTGATAGTGTATTGTTTCCTCCTTGTGAGTCTCAGAGAGTTTGCATTCTCACCAGGGATACTGCAAGGGGGACAAGATACATTCTGACCAAGTTGCTGCAGTGAATATGCGGCAAGTCTCTGCCATACACTGTAAATGAAACGGTTTGTCTAAGCAAACAACACTAGGAAATAATGGTGAAGGTAGAATTTACATATAATTATTGCTCCATATGTTAGGATGTTTTTAGATTTATTTTATTAATCACAAAGAAAGAAAGAAAAAAACAGTAGCTAAAATAAAATAAAAGATAATTCTACATCCCTAAGTCAATGTGACTTTGAGGATAAGAAAGGGAACCAAAGAGTTTAGGAAGACAGAGAGTTAGTTGTATGTTAAAGCCTACTGTTTACGGTCCCTGGGAAGTCTTCATTTACACCTAAACTGATGATGGATTTTCATCTAGGGCCTTCCACCTTGAATTCTAACAATACAGGCAATAAAGAATGGTAGCAGTTTCCAAATCTAGTTGAAATAGATTTAAATAGATGCAGTACTCAGGTTATAACTTTCAGGTTAAACTAGTGAAAATTAGGCCCTGGGAAATATCCAAAAATTGGAAATAATCTATTCATGGCATATACAATTTTGTAGGTTCAGACTCACCCCAAAAGAGCCCATGTTGAGAGCTGAGAGTGTGAGGACCTTGTCTCAACTTGGTTGCTTCTCTAAACAGCATAGTTGGGAATCATTGTTCTCAGTCTCTCCAACCCAAACATTCCATGTTTCTTTTATTAATGGCCATCCCTGATCCTTCTTCCATATTCTGTGTTCTCTTGAGATTATGGGGCCTATGCTTCTGAGGAGAGCCCAGAACAAAGATCTATTCGCATTAATGCTGTTTTGCAAATAACTACCTTCCACCAAAATAATTTGTTAGCTTGGGCCCTAAGACCAACATCTCCAGATTTGGATTTTAGAAAGATTTTATTCCTCTTTCTTTGGGGTTTCTGACTAAAGCTTTGAAAAGAAACAAGGCAGTAAGCATTTTTAAAACTAAGACACTATGTTCTCTCAAGTAACTCTGAAAAATGTAATTCAGTAACTTGTTTCTTTTGGATTCCCTTAGTTAAGGTATTTTAGTGGTTCTTTTGTCTTTTTTTTTTTTTTGTGGTGTTGGGATTAATAACATGCCTTCTCACGTGCCAGAAAAGTACTCAAAATGTTTCATATGCATTCTCAGGCATCTTGGCTGACTTTTATACAAGAATCTTCCAGAGACAATGGCTCCACTAAAGGAATAATTAATGGTGCCCATTTTCAGCAGGATAGAAGGTCCATGAAAGAGACTATTAGGGACTAATAGGTTAAAAAAAATGAAACCCATGTTTGAAGAGAATTTAAAGTAGAAAAAAAAGGGTACTGAGTGCCCGAGAGTTCCTGTTTAACCCACAAGCACAAAACATGTTGGTAAGAGCCAAAATTGGAACAACAGCACAAAGTGACTGTTTATTTTCTTTTTATTTTTTGAGACAAAGTCTGCCTTTAAATCCCAGGCTTTCAAGACCTTTCTCAGACTAGCCTCAAATTCAAATGGAAATAATCTCCCTGCCTCAGCCACACAAGTGCTATGATTATTTTTATGTGTCACCACATCCAGTGAAGTGGGTCTCTTTTTATTATGTCTGTTGTCCACACTTTTTCAGAGCAATGAAATGTCAAACAGATTCATGTTTGAAATGTTTTCTTCCATGATTGTGTTTCAGAAGATAAGAAGATGAGGAAAAAGAGAAGAGAGTAAGAAGGAGAAGTTTTAGGCAGTGACAGGGACTCACTCTGTATGTAAGTTTATTTATTCACTCAGTGCTAGATCAGAAGAAAGAACAATGAGACAGAGTCCTTCAGCTCAGCTCTATGATTCAATAACTATGTGACCTTAAATAAGTATGAAGTAGCTGAGCTTCAATCAGCACAGCAAATTCAAGGATTTTCAGACAATAGAAAGGGGAAACAGAAATGTATGAAAGAAACTGTAATAGTCTACAGAACATGACAAATAATTTGATAATGTTATGAAGTAGCATCAGAAGTATAGATTAAAATACATAATTCTTTCAGGATAAGGGAAAAGGAGTTGATAGATTAGAAAAATTCTCAGAAGAGTAAGATTTTTATCTATGCCTTAAAAGATAGAGATAAAAATGATGCTGTTTGTCACTAGAAAGTCTTCTTTAATTACCTCTAGCAAAATCAGTTGTTGTCTACACTGCCCTTGTGTATCTATTTCTATTAGGAACCCAAAGCAAGCACTACTTTTAATCTTTACTTTCTTCCCAAAGCAAGGGAGCTAAAAGGTTTCCCCAGAACTATCAAGTGACTAAATGAATGACTAAGTGCATAAGCAAATGAGGAAGACCTCCTAGCATTAAGTCTCCAAGGTCCTTAACTTGTATATTTCTATGTGAGAACCAGGAAAGCACCTCTTTTAGCCCAAAGACAATTGCAAAGTTATGGCCACTTCCTGTGCAAGAGATGAATGATGTCCACACACTCCACCCCTCCTTAATTATTGCTGCACACAGGATTGCACTGGGCTTCCTGTGAGAGGAAACCTACAGGCTTATGCAATGTGTATGGCACACTCAGATGAAAATTAAATAACTTACAGACCTGAGTCTGGGGACAGAAGTTTCACTGAGGATCCATACACAGCCAATGATACCAATAGAATAAATATCAGGATATAACTCAACAACAGCTGACATTGATTTTTAAAAGTTGTTCAAACATTTACTGCATGCAAAGTTCTACAGTTAGTATCAAGGGAAAAATACAGCAGAAATAAGCAGTAATTTACTAGAAATGTATAAAGTAAGCTGCAATATGTTTATAACCACACCTCTTTTAAGTTTTGGAGACAGGGTTTCTCTGTGAAGCCCTGGCTGTCCTGAAACTTTTTCTATAGACCAGCCTGGCCTTGAACTCAGAGATCCTTCTGCCTCTTCCTCTTGTGAGCTGGGATTAAAAGTGTGCACCACAGGCTTGCTGTAAACCAATCCGAAAGAGGCATGTTCTGAATTGAGGTAACCTCTTCCAATATAAATCTATCTTGTGTTATATTGACACAAAAACTAGTTAGCACATTTGACCCTCTGTCAACATTATACATAAACACATTATTGATAAACCATAACCTTTACATTCTTGTTCATCCCCCAAGATCTCATATTTAATATTAATATCACAACACAAAATATTTTAGTAGTTTGAAGTTATATAACCTGTACAAATTCAAATACCTCAAAAGTTCAATCTCAAAAAAAAAAGTTCGATCCCTAGTCTAAGATACATTTTTTTAAAGTTCGGTTAATGTTTTTCCTTCTTCGTTTTGGTGTGCTTTGGTTTTCAGATAGTCTCACATGGCCCAGACTAGGCTCAAACTTGTTGTGTACCTGAGGATGACTTTGATTTCCTTACCTCTTCCCTCCTCCTCTCAAGTGCTGGGATCCTGGGTGTGTATCTCACACCCATGTATTTTGTTGAAGACCATTCACTTAGTATATGCATGTCAATCCACCTCACGTTGTAAATGACTGTCTTGCATTCCATTGTCTTTATACATCATAATTAAACTAATTCCATACCAAAAGAAAAATTCAATCTCTCTAAATTATCCAATGTCTCCTTCTAATTTCAGACCTTTCCAAAACTATATGAAGTCTCTAAAATATTCAAAGTCTCTCTAAAACTCAAAAGTCTCTCAACTGTGGTTTCCTGTAAGAGCAAAATAAGTTCAAAATATTTACTCCAAGAAGGAAAACCAGGACAGAGGTACAAAAGGAACAAAGCAAAACCAAACTCTACCACAGTAAATACTCAGTGTCCAAGGTCTGGGATTCACTCGTGGCCTTCTGGGCTCCTCCAAAGGGCTTAGGCAGAGAGTCACCAGAGCACACCCAGCTTCTCTCCTAGGCTCAAATCAGCTCTATCTTATAAATGATGTTGCCTTTGAAGCTCATCCC